GGTGGGGGCAGACCCCGGCTTGATGCCCCTTGTCCCCACAGGGTTCCCTCCAGCCCCACTGCCCTGTGCACCCCATTACCAGCTTTGTGAGCTCGCTCCAGCACCGAGACCACCTCATTGCCCGCCGTGGTGTTGCACTCTGAGTAGCGGGCGGCTGCGCTCAGCCCCACCGTCTGGTAGTTGCCCTTCACACCACAGAGGTAGGCTGTGGCTGTCCCCGCGCTGTCGGGGGCCCCCCCGTCCCACCTGTATGCCCCCTGCCGGTCCACGTTGTATGTCTGCCGAGGACACGTGCCAGGCTCAGGGCAGGGGGTGGTTGGCAGAGGCACCCGGTGGGCTGCTCCCCGCCAGCACCCCTTGCCACACTCACTCGCATGCCTGAGGGCAAGTGTGGGACAGGCAGGGGCCTTGTGCAACCTGTATGCACATCCCCAGGGTGCTTCTGTGCCAGCAGCCCCGTGGGCATCACCCTGGCCCCATGCCCAGTGTGGCGGGGCTTTACCTTGGAGAGAGCCACATAGGGGAAAGCATCCAGGGCGAGGGGGGTCTCAGGGCCCAGCTTCGCCGCCTTCTGCCCCTTTAGGATGCGGGTGGCTGTGATGGTTGGGATCCCAAATCCTGCATGAGGAGAGAGGGTCTTGGTCACCCTCTGGACCAGGTACCCTCCCTGCACCCCTCTCTGCGGGGCACTGGCTGTGCCAGCCTGCCCGCTGCGGGCGTCAGCGGGACTCACCATCCCCGAGGAAGAGGATGAGGTTTTTGGCTTGGCTTATTCTGGGCTGGAGCTTGAAGGTGGCCTCAATGGCTGCAGCCGCCTGCTTGTTCCAGAAGGATGGCTTCTCCTCCTCCGCTGGACAGGGCAGCACCCATCAGTCCCACCTCACCAACCAATCCCTGGGGCACCCGTATCCCGGGGTACCTGCTCCCTGGGCATCCCCATGCTGGGGACTTCTCTGACATGGACCAAGCGGGTCAGGGTGCTGTTTTGGGTGGGGAAAGGCCATGCAGGCTTGCATCCAGCACCCAGCCTGGGGTTCCTGGGGCAGAGAAGGAGGGGGCAGCAGAAAGGGACATGATGGGGGGAACTATCTGGCAGGTGGGATAGGGCCACATCCATGGAGAGTGGAGGTTACAGGCACCTCCCACAGACCCCCGGCCCAGAAACAAGCAGGAACCTGACCCTGCAGGGGAAAACTGGCTCAAGGTCCCCAGAAAAGCAGGGGTAATGTCCATTAACCCTTGCAGAGCCAGGCAGCCCCTGCTCCCCTCCCCAAACCCTCCCTGTGGCCAGCCAAGCTGGTGCCTCGCCAGGTGCCCCACTTCCCTGGGCACCCGCTGCAGCCAGCCGGGCACCCATCCCCATCCTTGTCCCCACCTGGGATGACAGCAGTGCTGAGTCCTGCCCAGAGGCCGAGGCAGAGGGTGAGGGGTGCCAGGAGCTGCATGGTGAGATCCGGTAGCCCAACACTGCTGGTGGTGTCTGCAACTCTAGCAGATCTGGGGAGGGACTTTGGACCATGCTCACCCTCACGGGGTGTGTGGAGGGGTTCGGCATGCCTCCGATAATCGGGTGTCCTTCTGGCAGCTGGCACAAAGGCCATGGGGCTGGGCTGCAGGCACCTCCTTGGCACACCACCTTATTGCTGCTGGGGGACAGACGGACTTGGGACGCAGATGCAGGGGGTGAGGCGATGGGCAGTGCTTGGCAGGCATCACTGCCAGCCCCAGCTGTGGTGCTGCAGTGCCAGGCGGGGGGATGCCCTGGCCCAGGGTGCCACAGGCAGCACTGTGCATCGGACCTGGGGCAACAGGGTTTATTCGGAGTACATGGGGCCACTCGTGTACCGAGCAGACCTGCTCTCTGCCCAGCACTTTTCTGAGCAATAAACCCCCTGATCTGCACTACAATGCTGCTCCTCCCCTCATCCTCATTTCATCACATCCTTCACCCCAATGCCTCCAGTGCTGGTCCTGGGCGGGGAACTAGGAGCCACAGCCACCTGGGGAAGCTGAGGCACAGGGCAGCACCTGCGCAAACCCTTGCACAACAGATGGAGACAAACAACCTGTGTTTTATTGCATCCTTTGATCCTGGCTGCCGTGGGCACCCAGCAGCCAAGATCCTCGATGGGGCGGCCAGGGGTGGCTGGGCAGCTCAGGATGACGTGGGGCTCGCCGGGGGCTCTCAGGCCCCTAGCAAGCGGGTGGCCACACAGAGAGTCAGGAGGGTGAGCAGGGGCTGGGGGGAGTGCTGGGTGCCACGGGAAGCCCTGGTGGCTGCCCCACACCGGGGCTCGGTGGTGTAGGGCTCGAGGCAGGCGGCATAGGCCATGGCATGGGCAATGTAGTGCTGCTCCTGCACCCCGTGGAAGAGGTGGGCCATGGGGCCCTGGGCCAGCACCACCACATCTTCCCCGCTGTGGGTCTCTGTCTCCAGGGGCACGGCTGCCTGCTGTCTGTAGTCCTTGTCCTCTGCAGGGTGGGCATGAGAAATGGGGCCGAGGGCAGGAGGCTACCCTACCCATGGCAGGGATGGCGGGGCAGCTCCCATCACCCCAGCATCAGGGTGATTCCTGCCCAGGTGACACCTGAGCCATGCAGTGGCACTGGGACCCCATGCAGCCCCAGTGGCCATGCCTGTGGGATGCTGCCCCCAGCCACCCTGCACCCCCCATCCCATCCTCAGCAGGTTCCTACCTGCAGCAGGGAGGCTGGCAGCTGGGCGGCCCCCATCACGGACGCTGTAGCCAGGCCCATTGCCGTAGAGGATGCTGGTGTAGGCTCGCTTGTCCTTGGCTTTCTTGGGGGCCAGCCCTGGTGCACGGAAAGATGCTCTCAACCCCTATCCCGGCTGGGTAGCTCTCCCCAGCTACCCGCCTTGGCCAGATCAGCCTCCAGCAGGAGCAAAAGGAGGAGGTGGGAACAGGGATGCTTGCCACACCTCCCTGGGACCCACCAAAGATGGAGGTGCCGCGCAGCGTGTTGCCCCCAAAGGTGAAGACGTGGGAGTGATCAGCCGTCACCACGGTCAGGGTGTCGGAGGGGGAGGTGAGCTCGCCTGCCCGTGCCACCGCCCGGTCCAGCATGATGGCCTCCATCAGCGCCTGCTTGGCCCGGCCACTGTGGTGGCCGTGGTCGATCCTGCCACCTGCATGGGGAATGCGGTCATCACCCTCTCCCTGGTCCCCTGGGACACCCACCTTCTCCCAAGACCCACATCCCACCCCAGCCCCAGCCATGCTGCCCGCCTGGGGCTACTCATCTTCCACGAAGAGGAAGAAGCCATTGGGGTTCCTGCGCAGGATGCGAATGGCCTTTTCCGTCATCTCCACAATGGAGGGGTCCGTGGAGGCATTGCGGT